ACAGTGCATAATCACGTTGGTTTTTTAAACCTGAATACTGAACACTACTGAAAAGAAATTCGTTTAAGGGTGTGGGCGGGGGCGTCATCCTGGAGCCCCAAAATAATATATATGGTAAAATAACATTGATTTTGTGTTTTACATATGCCATATTTGGTACAGGGCTTTTAAGGACTTACTGAACGATATTAGGGTTGGAGCCCCCAACACTATATTCATATATGATTTGGGGGCGTGGCGTTGTAATGGAGGCTTCTTCTTGTCTCATTGATAGAGTTTGATGGACTCGATTTGTCTTACAAGACAATGATCAGGCTCTGTGGCATCATCGTTCACTTTACAAGCCTGCCAGATTGACTTCTTTCCCGTGCCATGAAATGCTGATGTCGTGTCGCAACCCGAATGCGAGTGTAACACAGGAAGGGCTTGTGATTTTGGCTCTCCAAAACTCCCACAGATGGCATTGATGTGGAAGTATCTGTATTCTATCCCATATCTTATGCCACCCAGATGTCAGTTATGGTTGAGTCTTGAGGAGATCCAATAGCATTTGCCGACACGGATGACTACAACAAGACACTTTCCTATGGATGCCAGTTCCTCTCTTTTCACGGGTAGACTCTGACTTTCTCACTGTCTGGAATGTAAGTGTCCCACACAGGATCTAATCTCTTGGTAGTCTGCAGTTGCTTCTCGAGGTATGGAATAAAGACTTCGTTAGCGTACCCATCAAAGTACTGATGCCGATAACAAGCAGACAGTGGACGATGACAACTCCATCAAGGACTTTACAGTAATATGCTGATGGTGGCTCTGGTTGGTAAAGCTGCTCAAGGCAATGCAGCAGGCCAGGTCAGATTTTGTATCTGGTAGATGAAGATCAGTACCGAAGTCTGAGAGAGAAGAGCGATGTAGAATTGGCCAAATAGTGCTACATTTTTATGGAGCACTTTGATCCTCTTGTCTTTATTCTGAACTATCTTGCAGTGGGAATTTCTGAAGAGAGCCAGTGAATTTCTCTTGATTGGATCGTGGATTAATGAGTGGGTGCGCTCATCAAGCTCAGTCTTGAAAAACTCTTGGTACTGTTTCCTTCTAGTCTCCTCCAAAGTGTGGACTGTGTTAGCAACAGCTCTGTCTGTGCATTTGCAACTGCCAAGCGTTACAAGATCATTAAACTCATCCGAAAATGGATTACCCGTTTGCCTCATGCTTGTATAAAGGGCATTGACTTGTTTCTGGAACGACTTCTGTGATAAGAGACCTTGCTAATGGTGCTGGAAGTTCTTAGGATTCTCAATATCATCTTCTGTGTAGTACACTTCCCCAAACCTTTTCAGCATTCTAGCCATTTCTGGTCCAGAGAGCATCCATCGTCTAAGAGCAGCAGGGTTTTCCAGGAGTCCAATAGCGCCATCTGCACCTTTCACAATCCTGTTCTTTTGCTCATGGGCCTGGTCAAAAGGGATCAAAGCTTGTTTGATGTTTTGGAAAGAACCCAGTGTGAGTGTTGATCAAACTCCTTCTTGACAGTGGCTGGTAAAGACTTCATATCTCGAATGTGAACAGGCGTCCATCTGGAATAGTTCACATGGTCCAAGGCGAAGAACCTTCACATACAGTGGGAAGTTTTTCTCTCTGTGAGCTCTGATAAGGATGAGTAGGAGGGCTTCATATTTCATGATCTGGTTCGAGAACGTGAAAGTAGCGCTCTTCTTCAGCATGTGATCTCTCCACTCCTTGGCTGATCGTTTATCCTTGGGGCCTGTACTTGGCATGAAAACCTCCTGCTGCAAATTGTTGAATTACAGGCGAGGGGTCATGAGGGGTTCATGCCTTCGATATGTTGGACACTAAATGGTGCAAAGAGTGTGTTAGGGGGAGGGCTTTTATAACTGTATAAACCTACCCGTCCGCATGCATCTTGAATTATTATTATTTTTTAAAATCCATGTCAAATAGGAAAGGTAGTGATTTAGTATCACATTCCAATGTTTAAAATGTAAAAATACAGTGGCATTGCCATGTACAGGGTGTAGATCAGTTTATGAGGCTACACCCACTTACCTTAATTTACTGCATGACCGTGTTCTGTTGTTTTTTGGGATAGGACTATTTACTGGCACTTCACAACATTCTACCCCCAGAATATGCAAAGTATTTGATTAAAACAAATCAACGTGATTTTGTGAGGGCTCCGGTACATGCCCCTGCTCCCTTCACACTTATATGATTTTTTTTTCTCCAGGGGCTCGTTCCTTAATATCGTTCAGGAGGTATTAAAAGAGCCCTGTACCAAAAACAGGCGGTCGCATAACCGCAAACCAATGTGATCTAACAATAACATGGGGGCTCTGACAGGACGCCCCGCCCCCATTCACACATATATGAATATTATGCCGGGGGCTTCTACCCTCACGTCGTTCAGAAGGTCATAAGAAAGCCCTGTACCAACAATTGCATTTTACAACAACAAATCAATGTTATATTACTTTATTTCTTATTTGGGGGCTCTAGGACGACGCCCCCGCCCCCAAATCGCACCTTTGTGAATACTTGGTTGGGGCTCTGACCCTAACAATATTCAGAAGGTCCTAAGGAAGCCCTGTACCAAAAATTGCATCCGAACAACAACAAATCAGTGTTATTTTACCTTATTTCATATTTGGGGGCTCTGGAACGACGCCCCCGCCTTCAACACCCTTACATAAAATTCTTGCAAGGGGCTTTTATCCTAATATTGCTTAGTAAGTCCTAAGGAAGCCCTGTACCAAAAATTGCATTTGTACAGCAACAAAATCAATGTTATTTCACCTTATTTCATATTCAGGGGCTCCGGGACAACGCCCCCGCCCACCACCCCTTTTTTGTTGTTTTTTGCCGGGAGCTCCTACCCTAATATCGTGCAGTAGGTCCTAATATCGTTTAGTAGGTCCTAAGGAAGCCCTGTACCAAAAATGGCGCTTGTATCCGGCCGGTAACGATAATCGATAAATTTGACGCTAAGCCACCTGACTATTATTATATTCTTATAAAAGACCAGTTGGAGAGCTTTGATTGAACTAATAAGTTGTATGGCTTTATTGAGGCTCTTTGTCAGTCAGACATCTTTGTAGATATGTATTGTACAAGTACTCCTTGTTTCATAACATGACCTGGCATGAGTCATGGGTTGCAGGTCATTCTATATTTAGTTATACATGCTAGTCTGTATTTGCAGACTCTGTTAAACTACATGTAGCTATCACTACACCTCCCTTCTTTAAAAGAGGTTTACGTATACATATATAAAAATTCTTAAACTGTACAGAGTGACAGGGTGGACTACCTGTACACTCGCGACTGTACTAGGGCATTATTCTGTCCCTTAAAGCTGGAGTACTGTTGCTTTCAAATATATAACTTATTACGCGACAGTCCATATCTTTCAAGGTTGCGATTCGCTATACTGGAATTCTCCGTTCAGGTTGAGTGATATCTGTTGATTTTTGTAATCAAAGTGACTGATTAAATCCGGTTATACTGGTAAACTATAACATGCACATATATATGTCATGCTCATGCAATCCTGCAGTTATGTTTTAAAGTCCAAGTTGAACTCTGTAACTATAAATTATTTACAAAACGCGAAAGTCTTTCTCTGTGGTTCGCTTTCATTTATTTACAAGTTCAAGCGATCTGGCGGTTTAGTAACTCGTCCGCTTCTGGTTCTGGTTGATGACGTAGTTGAGCTTTCTTCAGATGCTGGTTGCTCTGTAGCTTATGCAGTGTCATCTAGCTTTAAGTCATCCTGTTTTGGTAATGGACTAGACTCGGCTTGTTGTTGACGTACACTGGCCTAAGGTGACATCTGTTTCTGCGACGTATCTCTCCTGTTTCTGTCTCGATCTGGTATGATCTGTTTCGATCCTGGACAGACCTGACAATACCACGTTTCGACCAGGTGTTGGTTTTCATGTCTTGGAGTATGACATGATCTCCAGGCTTTAGCTTTGACAAGTCTCGAGCATGTTTGTCGAATCGCTCTTTTTGCTTCACCTTATGCTCCTCATTTCTTCCCCTCACTGATCGAGTATCGATCCTTTGGTTGTCGAGTAAACTGCCAAGCATAGGGAGATTCGATCGAAGTCGACGATTGTAGAGGAGTTTCTGCCGGAGACTTTCCGCATGCTAGTGGTGAACTGCGATAGACTTGTAGAGCTCTGTGGATATCCTGTCCACTGTGCTGTGACTTGGATATGAGTCTTTTGACAATCTTCACAGCATTCTCTGCGAGGCCATTGGATTGCGGATAATGTGGGCTCGATGTAGTGTGGTGAAAATCCCAGTCTTTTGCAAAGCTCTGGAACTCTTGGCTTGCAAATTGAGGACCATTATCCGATATCAGTTCACATGGCGTTCCATGGCGAGCAAATACTGCTTTCATGTGGTTGATCACGGCCTTGCTACTAGTTGAAGTCATAGTAAATACGTCAATGAACTGTGAGTAGTAGTCGACGATGACCATGTACTTTCTATTGTTCAGAGTCACCATCACGCAAGAACAGTTCTACGTTCACCGAGTTCATCCGAGAGTTTTCGGCTATGCTTGATAGACATTCCTTGTTCACGGGGAAACTATCTATTCTTGGAGACTTTAATGTCCACTGGGATAATCAATAATCCAGCGACACCAGAGCTTTGCAGAGACTACTCCTTGATCATAATCTGCAGCAAATAGTGGACGAAACTACTCATGAGTCGGGTCACATTCTAGATCTGGTCATCACCCGCATTGATGCCGAGAACATTATTTCTGTGCTTACACAGGACTCCATATCAGATCACAGCTCAGTCCACTGTCTCCTTCAGCTAGAGAAACCTAAGCATGTGAAGAAGAAGATCACCTACCGTAAGTTGAAGTCCATCAATCCGGCTCAGCTTAGACTGGATATTGAAGAGTCAAGTCTACTTTCAAACTCCTGTGGTCTGTTGATGACTTAGTTCACAAGTATAATGTAATGCTGAGGGAATTGCTGGATAAACATGCTCCGTTACAAACATGTGTTATTGTGGAACAGCCGGCAGTCCCTTGGTACAAGAATATCGCTGATGCGAAACGAAAGCGGCGACAGCTTGAACGACGATGGAGGCGGACCAAGGCTTTAGTTTATAAAGAAATCTTCAGAAAGCACAGAAATCGAGTCAAGGAATTGTTTGCTGAAGCTAAAGCCGACTTCTACAATGAACTCATAGTTGATTGTGGAAATGACCAGAAGGCACTCTACGCCATCATCAACAAGCTCCTACACCGGAAGACTGAATCAACTACGGCACTTCCACATCTAGCCTCTAAATTCTCAAGGTATTTCATTGGTAAGATTGAGTCTATTAGATGCAACCTGCAGTCAGATATGTCTTCAAGTGATGGAGTAGAGTTAGACAACGAAATAACCTCCTCTGGCAGTGAGCGTCTGAATACACTCGCGCCCACAAGTCCGCTAGAGGTACATATAGTCATTCGAAGGACCCCTGCTAAGTCATGCTCCCTGTATCCGATTCCTACCTCAGTTGTGAAGGAAAATGATGAGTTGATGGCCAAGCTTATCTCAAGGATAGTCAATGCTTCTCTTAACCAAGGGAAGTTTTCGGAGGAGCTGAAACTTGCTCATGTTACTCCTGTACTGAAGAAGTCATCCCTTGATCGTGATGAGATGAGCAGTTATCGGTCCATATCTAACCTGCCTTTCCTCGTCAAAGTTCTCGAGAAAGTAGTCGCCAAAAGACTGACATCACACCTTCAGGAATATGACCTTCATGAGACCATGCAGTCTTCGTACAAGAGGCTTCACAGCGTGGAGACTGCTCTTCTAAAAATATATAATGACATCCTGAGGGCAGTCGACAACAAGAAAGCAGATATGGTAATTATTTTAGACTTATCTGCCGCATTTGATACGATTGATCACACAGTCCTTCTCCAGAGGCTGCAACGGGACTTGAAGGTCGATGACACTGCACTGGAATGGTTCAGGTCATATCTTCACTGCAGACGACAGGCTGTAACATCAATGGAACTGTGTCGGATGAAGCTTCCTTGACCTACGGCGTTCCGCAGGGGTCTGTCCTCGGACCGATTCTCTTCACGTTGTACACTTCCCCTCTTGGGAACGCAGCCCGTCAACATGGTCTACAAGTCCACTTCTACGCAGATGACACTCAGCTGTATGTGACATTCATTTGATCCAAGAGTGGCAAGTGATGAAAAGGCCATAAGCTACAAGGATGACCTCGTGCCTTGCTGATATTCGTCGATGGATGGTAAAGAATTTCATGAAACTCAATGATGACAAGTCTGAATACCTTATAATCTCTCCACTCAACATGAGGAACAAGATCAACTCCGTGGACCTCCAAGTTGGCAATGTGTCTGTCTCTCCTACGGAGAGCGCCCGTAACCTTGGGGTCTACTTCGATCAGTCCATGCAAATGGACAGGCACATTTCACAGGTATGTCAGACTGCTTACTTCCAGCTTCGTAATATTGCAGCCATTAGACCATTGCTTACGAGGAAGGCAGCAGAAAGCCTTATTCATTCACTTATTTCATCTAGACTTGATTTACGTAACTGTCTTCTAGCTGGCCTTCCTTCTGCAACCTTGAACAGACTTCAAGCAGTACAGAATACAGCAGCACGTTTGCTTACTGGGTTGAGGAAACATGATCACATCTCTCCTGTTCTGACTGAGTTACATTGGCTTCCTGTCAAGAGCAGAATTGAATTCAAGGTCCTGCTGCTCACATTTAAGGCAATTCATGGTCAGACCCCAGGATATGTGTCATCTTTAATCGAGCGGCGTCATCTTCGCCCTGGACTTCGCTCATCTGGCCTTACTCTCCAGATGCCCGTTACTCATCTCAAGGGATATGGAGACCGAGCATGTTCCTCTATTGCTCCTCGCATGTGGAATTCCCTCCCATCATCTATTCGCGAAATTGACAACCTTGACCACTTCAAAGCTTCACTCAAAACTCACCTCTTCCTTCAGACATTTAAATGCCAACTTTATTGGAGGAGCTCGCGCCTTTGAATGTTTTTTGAAACAGATAAATGGCGCCATACAAATGATGTGAATCATCATCATATTAAAGTTTAAAACACGTCGAAAGAAGACCAATATTTGATTTGAATTAATATACAATGCTTTGTACTCTATTTTCACATTGTTTAGTCCTCATGTAACAGTATAGGGTATTGCCAACATTGGATGAAAGCATGTTGTGTATACTTTATTCAATATGTGTACCAATTATCATCTTCATATTGCTTACCATAACCGAGATCTCTGTGTCAATCAGCGTGTTTCCATTAGCTAAAATGAATTTATCCGGTTGAAGAAAATAGTCTACAATTGGCAGGGAAGGGCAGTTTCTATCTACGCGCATTATCCAGATAGATACACTGCTCCGATTACACAGCCGTGAATAAAAGTTCATCGAACTTTGGCCAAGGTCACTGCAAAGTGTTGTGGGACTGCTAGGTCAACCTGGGATTGTAGTGTCGCGCGCGTCGGGGTAAAATATTCCGATCACGTGATCACTCTGATTTCCGGTTTCTCTCCGCTATGTGCACTCAACCGGAACGAGGCGAGTTTCTACTTACGTTATCCGGTTAGCTTCCCCTGCAATATCCTTCTTGCCCGTAAACGCGACACAGCTCTCACGGCCATTATCCGGATAATGGTGGAGAAAGTCAGTTTCTATTAGGCAAAATGTATCCCTTATCAGCCATTAACCGGATAATGGCTTTTAATAGAAACACGCTGAATGTCAATGCCCCCCCCCCCCTCTACCTTGCAGCACTTTCAGATTTCACTTTTATATTTCCTACTGTTGTGTCAGTGTACACTATGTCACTTGATAACACTTAATGCTCTTTAGTATTTTGTAGAGTTTGTTACAATACTCTTATGTGCTTTATTCAATAAATCTTGTACACTCTAAAAACTGAAATGTTAAAACACCATTTAAAAGGGCCGAGGAGTGACCACTCTTTCAAAATTTCAGATTGATACTTTTAACATGCTGGATTCAACCTTTATAGTGTTGGATCAAACATGCTCAAAGTGATAATCTACCATTTTGAAAGAGTGGTCAGGCAAGGTATTTCATTGCCGTAAGTATGTTAAAAGAAATGCCTATCACCTTCAATTAATTAGCTTTCAAAGTTACACAATAAAAAAATTGTGCTTTTACCCCCCCCCCCCCCCCCCGGTTATTCAGCGGCCGGCTGAGTCGTTGCGAAATTTTGGTCGGCGCGATATTCAAATTTTAGGCCCCCCCCCCCCCCCTATCGGCAAATCCTGGATCCGCCACTGGCTATACTACATCAGTGTATTATGTTACTTGAGAACACTCAAGCTCTTTATCATTTCCAGAGTTTATTACAATACCCTTATGCTCTTCATTCAATATCGATAATGTTAAATAAATCTCATATCATATGGGTAGATCAGGGCCCATTTCATGAAACTGATTTTGATAACAATTGCCAACGTGAAAAGTGGCAAAAATTTTTAAATTATACATAAATTGGTAATGTAAAACTGCAGGAATTTTTTCACTAAAAGACAATCCCAAAGCCTTGACATGAATTGCACGAAAATACTCTAGACTGATTAAAGGTAATACAAAGTTCTGGTATGGGGTCATGAATTTAGTTCAAATGAACATATTGGAAGCATATGCGATCCTATAATATCAGTGATTGTTGTCGCGGTTGAAATCGAATCTAAAGTTATGAAATTGTAAATAATAAACTCTTAAAGGACAAGTCCACTCTAAAAATAACTTACTTTCAATAAAAGCAGAAAAATCAGACAAACTAATCAAAAAAAGTTTGAGCAAAATCGGATAACTAATAAGAAAGTTATGAATTTTTTAAAAAGTATGTAAAACTATGGAACAATGAGAATCACAACACAAATTGCCAAGATGGTTATCAGTTTGTGACGTCATGTCCTCACTATTTATCAATTGCTCTATATGGTTTAATCCCATTAATTTCCCTTTTTATTTCCCCATGCCTCTGCCCAGGTTATATGATTTGTATCACATTGCGTGCATAACATTTCACAAAATCTTTTTATGAACTTTGAAGAATTTATACTATTTTCTGTATATTGTATATTTATAATTATTGATTTTTATATAAATAATTTATCAAAATTCACATTTTTCATAATTTAATTGGAAAAAATTACTCTATATTAGTGCATCCACACAAAAACATATTACTATTACCGGTAATATAACTTGGATGTTGGTGTGAAAAAATAAGATTCTTAAGGATAAAGTAGGAAATTTATATCATCAATATAAAGAAAATAATTAGCGGATAGTGAGGACATGACGTCACAGACTCATGAGTGAGTTGCCAATTTGTCTTGTGATTTTAAAAGTTTTTAATGTCATTAAAAATTCATAACTTTCTTATTAGTTATCCGATTTGCTCAGACTTTTTTTGATTGGTTAATCTGATTTTTCTGCTTCTATTGAAAGTAAATTATTTTTGGAGTGGACTTGGGCTTTAATGTTGCAAAGCTTCCTCTCAAGGTCAAGATATTAATTAAGCTATAAAACAATTTTTCTTGACAAAAAACGACCGATTAGCTATTCTCGTTTTTAGAAATTATATATCACAACTACATATGCTGAGATTTTCATGGTCGCAGCTACCATTGCACGGCCGTAGGCGCTAGTTGAAATTTATCAAAATTTACCGGGAGCACCGGTAAATTTTTATATTCAATTTTTCGCGAAAGCAGAAGTGTTTTAGGGGCTAAATTTTCTAGTGCTTTTAATACATCCACAGGGGCATCCAAATATATCAAAATTGTAAAGATTCACCATCCACCCAATTTTCAAAATTTTTCAAAACTTTGTATTACCTTTAATTGAACTACAACATCTGTGAATCTTGATGTGCATCCCCTCTTTCTTTCTTTTTTTTTTTTCTGTCTTTATCCCCTTTTACCAATATTTTTTCCCCTCCATATTTGTATTATTATGTATCCTTTGAGGGTATTCATACTATCAAGCTTTGCTTATTTTGTCATCCCTCCTGTTTGATGCTTTTGATTAGTTACAGTCAGCCTTACTTTATTCTACATATATTCATTTGTCATGTGTAAATTTGCAATGTTTGTTTTGTTATATATTTCTAAAAATGCAAAAGAAAAAGAAAATCAAACAGAAATAAATCAATAAAGATCAAAATCAAATCAAAATTAAACATATCCAGAACAGAATCGTTGGTGAAAAATATATAGTATTAGATCTATGACTTTTAGTGAGCAGAGGACCAAAGTCAGATAAGAAGAGTTTGCCTACCGCTACCTCACAAACTAAGCACACCTTGTTTATTTGAAAAAATTTATTATGATAAACAAAAAATTGCATAGGTTTAAAAAAGAAAATTGATTTGTTTCTGATTGCTTTGTTCCCTTCCTCCACAAGCTTTAGTCATTTTTTATCACATAAAAAGGGTATTAGAGTATAACCAAAATTTGAATGAAATATTTTATCTAAACTCTCTTGGCTTTGTTCTGGGAAGAAAAGCAGAATTAATTGTACAACCTTTCAATTTGGAAAAGCATCTAAAAATATCTATACCCATTTAGTGCAAATTGAATTGAATTCATGAATTTAGAAGATGTCTGAAGTTCTGAACATTCAGTTATAAGAGACAAAGATCTTTATGTTATGCTGAACCCACAGATTTTCAATTCCATTTTCTACTTTAGGTCCAAGTTTATACCCAACATGACCTTTTACTATATAAATAGGCAAGGTTTTTCATTTCCATGATTATGGTTTAAAAAATGCCTTCACTTCAAAAGCTGTGAAAGGTACAGTATATAATAAGAAGACATAAAGCTTGTGTAGTCTGCCTTGTCAAAAATATCAGTCTATCCAATGGAAAACAATGATCTTGTTTGGTCCTTTATAGATAGCAGGCCCAATGGTTATATATATGATTATATAGTGGTTACGTGTCTTTTCAAAGGTTTATTTTTCTGAAGGTTCATATATTACAAA